TCAATGAAAAGTTGACGAAAGTTTACATGAAAGGGTGGTGGGGGGGAGGGGGAGTCCTTAAAAAGTTGAGTCAACCTTGGGTGCTCTAAAAGCTTGAGAGAAAAAAAGAACAAAAAAGAAAAAAAGAAAGAAAAAATATTATAGACCATATTTTCTCGGCCTAAAATTAATACAGTTAAATTGGACTATAATATTTTGATTGGTTCAAGTTTTTATCAAATAATTTGACAGTTCAGGTATTTCTTCGTCGTAATCTTTAATGAACACAAATAGTTTTCATTTATTAATTCTAAATTTACAATAAAAATCAAAGATGTAAATATAAAATGCATCCTGTACAGATCTAAATGTCCATGTACATTTTGGTTGACGTCACTTAGGGGGTCTCTCGGAAAGATGACAAAAAATGACGGGAGCGTGGTCAATTTTGGACAAATTTTAGCTGACGTCATTAGTGAACCATTCCTAAAGAGGCTTTTCGTCTGCCCAACCATTTAAACAAGGCATTCTTCCGAAATTTGAATTCTAATTGATTAAAAAACTCCTCACAGTTTCACTTTGATTTTTTTACACAAGTAAGGTAACTGATCAGGCTTTCGATTTAGCAAATGAAAAAATTTGGCACCAAAAATGAAAAAAGACGTTTTGTCAACTTGCAGCAGCACACTTGCTGAGCTTTTGAGCCTTCACCTCAATCCTGTCTTTGATTCTTGCTCATTTTCTACACTACTTGACTGCCTCAACTAGGGCTAGGCAATAAGTCGCTTTAGCAAAATCCGGATATGTTAGTGCACCTCTTTGTGCAAATAATATGACATAAACCGCTTCGGCAGATGGGTTAGAACCACTTCCACAAACGGGTTAGAACCACTTCCACAAACGGGTTAACATCACTTCAACAAATGGGTGCACCCACTTTGGCAGACGGGTCAGGAAAGAGAGTTAAGAGTCTGAATTCGGACAATGTTTCATCGAGAATTATACGGTTATCCTTATAGATTATCCGGATTTTGCCCACCTCTAGTCTCAACGTGCTTCTCTTGGCTCAAACAAGCAATCAGCTAACAACAACAACAACAAAAAAAGAAAACCTTGACAAGAATTCTTCCTTCGGAATTATGGCAGTCTTCCCTACCTTCCTCAAACACATACATCGGTCGGTAAAATAAACTTTAGCCCTCCATTGAGAACTTACTTGACCTCGTAAGCACATCTGAGGTCTTCACTAAGGAGCATCCCAAGTTACTGTTGCATCATTCACGAAAAGTGGGGAGGGGGTCGAAATTCCCTTCAACACGTAGATCTAAGCAGAGAATAATAATAATAATAGATAGCATTTGTATAGCGCATATCCCCGCTCTACAGCAGGCTCTATGCGCTTTACACTATATTATTACCCCAGCAGACCATAGAACACTCCGAAACATTCTCAGCTTCCCGGGAAGCATACAGTGCGAGCAGCCGATTAAGCGCTCAAACACTAACAAACTGACAAGATCTTTCGCTGTCTATAGCCGGGTACCCATTCCCACCTGGGTGAAGTGAGGAAAATAAGTGTAAAGTGCCTTTCCCAAGGACACAACATCGGGCCCCTGACGGGATTCGAACCCCCCGACCTTACGGTTGCGAGTCCGAGAGCCTAACCACTAGGCCACCGACGCCACTATACCAGTATTTCTTTTCCAACTTTTCCAATTTGCGCACATAGCATAACCCTCTTCACCCAGTTCAATTCTGCTCCTCTTGTATATTTATCCGTTTTTTTAAACATTTTCATACCGGTACTCTTGATTCATAATATACCAGTTTCTCTTATAACCTTTTCCTATTGCTCTTTCACAAACTTTCATTTTATAAATTTCTCTTTCTCCTCATTGTAAAAACAGTTCCTTTTCTATTATCTTTTTCTCTTACTAACAGGCAGTCAACTCGTGTATTATACAAAGTTATTTCTAGTCCTCTTTCACTTCGTAAACTTACACTTACACACCACCCATTAAACACAAAAACCGATCGTGTTCCAAGTTTTATTTGCCGAAAGTTTTGCTACAATGAAAGTACCGAGATTTATAAGATAAGACTATCACTTGTCTCACATGAGCTGGTTTAAAAAAACCACAGGACAAAATATCACAATTCTTTTTTTTCAAAACTCAATTCAAGCTCTATAAGTTGAAGGAAAGCCAAGAATGCCTAAAATATCAGATATAATATTATTATAATAATAATAATAATAATAATAATAATAATAATATGTCTCCCTATCGGTATCACTCAGTTCTTTCTATTTCTTTAGCCTACATGCAAATTTATATGTGAAATGCTCCAATGCACCCAATTGTCAAACAAAAAATTTGAAAAGCTGAAATGGAAAGAATTCAGTTTGGAAAAATCTCTTTGATCTTCTTGGCATGATGATAATAATAAAATAATAAATAGCATTTATACTGCGCATTTCCGTTTTCAAAAAAATGCTCCATGCACATGACATCGAAAAAGACATCACATCTTAAAAATTTATCAACACGAGAGTACGTAAAACAAAGTATTATGCATATATATGTATATATATATATATATTTGTAAAAATTTGTATGAGAAAAACAGTCTCGCAGTGAGGTTGGAAATGCGTTCAGTAAAAATATACAATGCAATAAAAATTCACAACAAAATTGAAACGCGAGTAACTAGAAACATTCATTAAAACATTTGCTCTCAACAGATAGAAAAACATTTCCCCTCTCTCTCTCTCTCTCTGTCTCTCTCTCTATCTCTCCCCCCCCCCCCCCATTTTTTCAGTCTCACAGTCTGGTATTCACATGCACAGTTCATCATTATGACATGCCTATTTGTTAATAAAACATGCTTCAGCTGGTTTTTCTTTAAAGTATATTGTTGGGGCAGATCTTATTTTATATGGGAATTTGTTCCATACCTGGGGACCAACAAACAAAAATGAACGCTCGCCGTATGTTTTGTAATTTTGTTTTGGAGTTTTAACCCTATCCGTATGTCGTGTTTTACTATCGTATTCATACGACGTGGGGAACTCTGTGCCCCCACTTTCAAAAGAGGAAATTTACTTGTTAATCCGATCCGTACGGTTTGCATAGTACTCTGTCAAAATGATATTTTGAGACATACTGAAAGTTTCAAAGAGATCTTCGCACTAGAAGTATTCTAAAATGTGAAGAATACAACCCCTTGGGTACAAAATGACCCTAGGCGCTTTGATAGGGTTAAGAATTAGCCCTAGGAGGATGATATAATTCCAGGAATGTTTTACGGTAAAGAGGTGCCATATCATTTATACATTTAAAGTGATGTTCACAAGAGCTCCACTGGATGTTGTCCTCTTGTCATGTCTTCAGCTAGTTCCCCACGAAGACTCTAAAGTTCCGGTACATCCACATTTCTCATCTCCAGCTTTGTCTGTACCCCTAGACTGATGGAGCTGGGGAGAAAAGGAAGTGAGAGTGCACTCAAACCATCAACATGTAGGGCTTGAACTCAGGTTTAAAAAGCTATGGAAGCTACCAAACTATGTGGGCCATTTTCTCCATAATTTAACCTCTAAAACCAGGACACTCCATCTTCTTCAATTGGAAATATCTCGATATATATATTGATAGGTAGGCCTGCTTTTTTTTTTTTCATAGCGTGCAAGACAAATGAACATGCTTTAAAATAATACCATTATCTCCACATGCCTAAAAATTGACGAGCCCCTGAATCCACTGCGTAGTGACACATCCTACCATGACATTTTCCAATAGGGATACTTTTCTAAGATGACCCCTTTTCTCCTCAACAATGGGAGATTGTCTCCAAAGAAGAAGCAAACCACACCAGAGCACCTGCCAACCACCCATGATTGTATTATGAAAAACCATAACTTCAATAACTCTTTATCATTCTACAATCTTTCCGTGTTTTGCAGGTGGCCACCCAGCCATGACGTCCCATCTCCCCGACTGACCAACACTTGTTGCGCTACAGTGGTGGTCAACTCACGGCGATGGTGTCATCACATGGGTACTACAGTACTGGAGGAAGGAAGGAAAGAAGGAAGGGAAGGAAGGAAGGTAGGAAGGAAGGAAGGAAGGAAGGAAGGAAGGAAG